AATAATTTATTAATACTAGTATTATTACTATTATCATTGTCATAATTATATTAAATATTATATGTAATTTTAATATTTGAATATAAATGACGCCAAATTACATATGTAAAGCTAAAATGTGTACTTAACTTAATTTAAGTTCTAATTACGTTTTATATCAGGCAGATATTTTCAAATGGCAAACACATGTTCGAAGCTCTCGCATGAACGCCTGTGTGTTCGCTCATGGAACTAATAGTCATGCCATAGACCGATATTTCAAACTCAGTGGTTTTTAAATGAGCTTCCATTTATTGAAGATTAACTCAGTCATGCTCCAGAAGAAGCTAAGGCGATGAAGGTCGTGCGATTGAATTCATCTTGTGCTTCAGCTGCGCCAACGCTTAAAATAAAACCATTCGGAGCAATTAGCTCATTTCTAAGATACTGTTCTCAAAAATTTCCATAAATCATCTTCTTTGAATATTGTTAAATAGCGCTCATTTTAACTTAAAAGAGTTAATAATTAGATATAACGTTATTCTGGATCTTCGGATAAGTCAGTCTTGCAGTTATGTCTCGACCGTATGTACTTCTGACGTTTGCATAATACTTGACGAGTCGCGGTCGTGCGGAGGAACGGCCAGCCGTTAGATCTCTCACGCGGGCAATCGCAAATAGCAAAGACGCGTAAGTTGTTCAACGCTATGGGGAGATAATCGACGTTATTTGATACGCTTCGGAACGTGGTTTGAGAATCGCGTTACTCGACGTTAAGAATCGCTTCCGTGGGCCGGAAACGGGAGTTGATTTGCTACCAGTAAGGCACAGAAGCATGAGATGAGTGATATGTATGAAGAACAGTAAGGATTATTATTGGTGCGAGGCTCCGAGCTGCAGAACATAATTCGTAAAGAATGTGCGTAAAATTGGATATTCTCAGGTCTTGAAGGTTTTCCAAATTGAGTTTAACTTTGTTGAAATCATGTTGTTAAAATAATTATCGTTTAATTTCAAACGAAGGATATTCTAATCAAGGAGCCACACGAAAATATTATGTTTAACTTGATCTCATTCACAACACTGCATGCGATATTCGACAGGACAGTTAATAATAAGTCTGGAGTTTCAATCATTTTTAAAGCCATTGCGCTGGTTGTGGTGTACTGTGATAATGATACATATTGTAATATAAACTTGTGCTAGAATGGGAAAGTAAGGAGAACAAAAGGTGACCATTCCTAAACTTCTTCAAAGTTTACCTTTTCAAACAATTCTTCATATAAGGAACATGAAGCAGGACTCGTTCCATTGAAAAGAAACATCAAAGGAACGGCAGTAATCTCAGCTTTTGTTGAACTTCTCGACGTTCCTTGACAGTTATGAGCAATTTACTTCCTCAAACCAATTGAAGTCACCAGTTCAGTAGGACAAGTTCCTAGCCTGACCATAACCGCTTTATTCTCTTATAAAAGAGGACAGCTGAATTATAAATGAACGGCAAACTGGGAACAATGTGATCATGGACCATGGTCCAGTTATAGAAGCGTCGGCGTTGCAGAATTTTCCATCTGGCCTGTCGCAGATTTCGAACATCACGCAATTTTGATAGCTTGATGCAAGTCTCGAACATGCAACTATAACTGCTCCAACATCCACTGTGCTTAACCGCCCAGTCAAAATGCCGATTATAACCGGTACCCTCACGGGAAGCTGGAATTGAACCCGCAACTCCCTGCTCCAATTTAGCACTTTGCTGAAATGAAACCACTGGGCCACCCGGCCCTCAAATAATTTATTTCTCATTCGTTGTTCCGTCCGGTCTGTTATTATTTATTAGCAATAATACCTCACAATAATGTTGAATCTTCTTAAGCTACATTTGGAGATCCTAAATAGACTTGAATTATGTAGTTTAATACCTCAGAAACGTTAACATTTTATTTTGTTTTACTTCCCTTCTGAGAAGCTCTGGTTCAAGAGGAAATTTCGGTTGTGCTCTGGCTATTTTCATGTTTTTATATGTTGTGAAGGAAATTTGGTAATTTTATAAGAGTAGTATTGAAATAGGATCGAAGTGTCTTCATATGTTTGGAAATGAACAAATCGTCAAACAATTAATCTATGACTATGAATGGTTTTAATAATTTCAACTCCAATCAATACATAGGTATTCAACTGTATTGTCTTTAATTTCGTTGTTCATCTTGGCGCCCGAAAGTCAACTTCGTTCTCCATGTAAGAAAACAGTAACAATAGGTGTTATTAATTATTCAAATCGAAATAATACATTCTAAATAGAAACAACAAATTTTTAAACCCTTTAACGATTCATCTGCTTTTTCCTCTAACCTCTCAGCGACAGATGAGGCCAGCTTCCTCTGGGCGGTGACGACGAAGGAGTTGGTCCTTCTCCCGACGACGCCGTGGTGTTAAATTCTCCAAAATTGAAGGATTCAATTCCAGGCTTCTGTGGCATGAACCTTAAATCAGAAGTTTCATTCCATTTTAATTCCTTTCTGGATTGAGCACTTGCTTCCCGTGACATTAATAATTGAATTTTAACGGCACTCGCACAGGTTCGTATTGAAGTAATTATTAATAAAAAACTAATCCATGACAACGATTTGATAATTCGGGATTTATGTTTCTTGGGCTTCTTCACTTTCAATATCATGTTACACATAATTTTTTCACTGGTGGTCCTACATGGAATTGGGAGTTGTTTTTCTCCCATGTAATGAGTTTTGACACTGTCAGGCATTCTAAGTATATTCATGGATTCACGATAATTTCATTCAAATAGCGCATCTTTAACTGTGCGATAACATTATTCTTCTATTGTTAATGAAAAACACTTACTGCTCTTCAATGGACGTCCTGACGCGAGGCGGGTGCCGCGTGTACTGAAGTGCCTGTGGTCACCGAGGATCGACAGACGTCGCACAACCGCAAAGTGGCTGAAGCTTGTTAACTGAATACGGTAAATGCAGGGCTGCTATGTGGCAAATTCGTAGTGCGACTAGCTGGAGCCGACCTCGAATACTTTTGGACGATTGAGGAGGAATGATTCATTGAGATGAATTATTTCCATGGGTTAGTTCTTTGACGGTGATTTTCATAACGATTCGAAACTTGATTTGGAAGTCTACAAATGTTTAAATACAGCATTCCATTTTAATCATGTATACCAAATTGGGTCAATTACAAATAATTTAAAATGACAAAATCAAAACTATTAAGAAGCTTTTAGTCAATAAAACTATTGTTTGCACGGTTGTAAATTTTATCGAGTAGTAAATAAAATGATTCTGGGCTGGCTAATTGATAACGATTAAATTTTTTTGCGCAATTACTGAAATAAGTTGTTGAAGCAAACTGAAGCTGAGTATTGTTGACCCTGCCAAAAATTTTATCGACCACTAACTGAAATAATTTACTAAGAAAACAATTTAAAGTATTCACAATAGTCTGCAGCCACTAAAATAAGTTGTTGAGCTTGATGACTATTTCAATGATTATTTCAATTGCACGTAATAACCTTTGCTGGATAAATTAAAAATTTTTTGAACGGATGGACTCATGATACTCTGCTCTCTAAAATGAATTGCATAATTGCTTATCATTGAATATGTCTACCATTCGTGCTCTGACTGAACTCACTAGAGGCTAGCAAGCGTGGAAAACATCTCCCTTTACTGTTTAGGGCCAGGGTGCAGAAAGCGGGTGAATATCAAAAGATCTTTGGCAACCCATCATCAGCAAAAATTACACTTTCCGAAGATCTTGCTGACACATTTAGATTGAAATTATTGCATTTTAGAAATTACTTTGAAATTATTTCAAATCTGAAAGACCGCAAGTGCACACAGTAAGGTTTCCGGTACGTCGGATGGATCAGGATGCAGTGAAGCTTGTCCAGAAATCAGTTGCAATAGGTGCAAGTGTTGCAGTGCGTGGAGAGTAAGGGTCTAAGGGATACACTATTAAAGTTGCTTGCAGCATTTTCTTATTAAAAATTACCTGGAGACATATCTTGAAAATGGCTGGCGACATTTTGGGCTAAAAATCCATATCTTGGGGATGCTGCTTGCAAACTGTGCACCCTGGGTTTAGGGCCACAACTGGAGCTTTCCCACCATTTCTGGAACCGCGAGATTCCCGCCAGATGAATAACCTATCTATTTGTTAACAAAAGTGCAGGATCGAGGCCCAAATTTCCAAATGTATTAAAAATTTGTCATGCTGGAGCTGCAAGATATCAGAAACCAGTTGGAAAATTCCAATCCTGGAGGCTAGCATTTCTAAAATTTTTGTAGCTGCAATATTTCTGCTAGTTGAATTATCTCCTATCTAATTAGTAGTAGAATTATAGGTACAGTCAGACCAAGAAATATACATTTGGAACCTCTGGGCCCAATATATGTATGAGGCTGTGAGCAACCCATAAGATTCCAAATTGATTGAAAATGTGTTAGTTTGGAGCTACAAGATCTTAGTTACAGAATTATCTAAAATGGACAGAGAATATAAAATATTATAACCAATTTCTTGTTTATTTGCTTGGAATAAATTCATGTTGTAAGGCAATTCCAAACCACTGACCTGCATGTTCAAGTCTCAGAATTTTCATTTTCAAATTAAACTAATTATAGATAATTGTCTGACTCTGAAACTTCTAAAAAATAAAACATTTTTGCCAAATTTATATGAAAAGATTCATGTCAACTGTGCCAATTAAACTATCTTTATGTGTTTGAATGAAAATAATTTTGGAGATGAATCATGGCAGAAAAATGGTATAAACATATTTATCAATTTGCTTGTTCTGGACAGAATTAATTTTAGTCCATCTGACCATATTAAAGATTTTAGATGATTTCAATGAGAAATCTGATGACAGTGCTTGTTGCAACTATCAAGCCTGGTAGGTAATACAGTTAAGAGAGGAGTTGATTTTTGTGCCAATCTTCTAAATTTCTCTTGTTCTGTCATTCAAACATTTATATTATATTGTTTTGTTACAGAATTGCTGCCTGAGTTTTTCTTCTGGCAAATTTCTTCCAAAAGACAAACAATTGGCCAAGGCCAAGCCTTTGCCAGAAGGTCCTTCTCTGGAAGATTTTGTTACTGGTGAGGTGAGTAGCAACTGCAATGCAAATGATTAATCTAACACATTATAAAAGGTTACAAAATAAATTGGTATTGATTTAAATTATTGTACATTGTATACTTATTTTTTACAATTGCCAAATTTTGCTAATCTATATTCCATAAATACTATATGAATGCATCATAATTAAACTGGTAAAATGCTTGATATTGGATAAAATGGAGAAATGTTTTACAATTGTTTAAACCATTATCACTTTTTTGTTTTGCCTGCAAACTTTAATTTATTACCTTTATTTCAGGTTTCTGGACAGTCAACCTGGTCAGATTATGAAGGAAAACTCAAGAGAGAAGTAGGAGACAGAGCCAGGCTCAGGCTGCCACCATGGCTAAAGAGGGAGATCCCTATTGGGCAGAGCTATCACAAAGTTTGTTGCTCTAACTTATCTTAATTATTTTAGTTAATCCTTAGTTTTGTGATAAACATTCATGGAACAGTTTGTATGTTACTTGTGCTTTTTGATATGAAGCCAATGTTCTGGGGCCATGCCATCAAACATATTTATGAGTTCATAAAATCATAAGTAAGCCAATAATGGCATTTCAAACCAAAGCCACCAAATACAGACAATAAATTGCCCGGTATGTGTACTTATGCAGCTGGTTTTAACAGCAGGGCTCCTAAAGACATCAATCTTTTAATTTACGGTACATTACATCTGAATCCTTTTTTGTAGCTGAAAGATGACCTACGGGGCTTGAAACTCAGCACTGTTTGTGAAGAAGCGCGCTGCCCCAACATAGGGGAGTGCTGGGGGGATAACAAGCATGGAGTTGCCACGGCCACCATCATGGTATGCTCTCCAGATCCATTGCAAATCTTACTCTGCAATAAATTATGTTATTTTTGGCAAGAAAAACGTCGTTAAAAGAAGGTGTGGTAGAATTACATATATAACTTTTATAGAATTATAATTCTATAGAATTCTATAATTATAGAATTTTGAATTATAATATGATTGTAGGAAATTTGGTAATTTTATAAGAGTAGTATTGAAATAGGATCGAAGTGTCTTCATATGTTTGGAAATGAACAAATCGTCAAACAATTAATCTATGACTATGAATGGTTTTAATAATTTCAACTCCAATCAATACATAGGTATTCAACTGTATTGTCTTTAATTTCGTTGTTCATCTTGGCGCCCGAAAGTCAACTTCGTTCTCCATGTAAGAAAACAGTAACAATAGGTGTTATTAATTATTCAAATCGAAATAATACATTCTAAATAGAAACAACAAATTTTTAAACCCTTTAACGATTCATCTGCTTTTTCCTCTAACCTCTCAGCGACAGATGAGGCCAGCTTCCTCTGGGCGGTGACGACGAAGGAGTTGGTCCTTCTCCCGACGACGCCGTGGTGTTAAATTCTCCAAAATTGAAGGATTCAATTCCAGGCTTCTGTGGCATGAACCTTAAATCAGAAGTTTCATTCCATTTTAATTCCTTTCTGGATTGAGCACTTGCTTCCCGTGACATTAATAATTGAATTTTAACGGCACTCGCACAGGTTCGTATTGAAGTAATTATTAATAAAAAACTAATCCATGACAACGATTTGATAATTCGGGATTTATGTTTCTTGGGCTTCTTCACTTTCAATATCATGTTACACATAATTTTTTCACTGGTGGTCCTACATGGAATTGGGAGTTGTTTTTCTCCCATGTAATGAGTTTTGACACTGTCAGGCATTCTAAGTATATTCATGGATTCACGATAATTTCATTCAAATAGCGCATCTTTAACTGTGCGATAACATTATTCTTCTATTGTTAATGAAAAACACTTACTGCTCTTCAATGGACGTCCTGACGCGAGGCGGGTGCCGCGTGTACTGAAGTGCCTGTGGTCACCGAGGATCGACAGACGTCGCACAACCGCAAAGTGGCTGAAGCTTGTTAACTGAATACGGTAAATGCAGGGCTGCTATGTGGCAAATTCGTAGTGCGACTAGCTGGAGCCGACCTCGAATACTTTTGGACGATTGAGGAGGAATGATTCATTGAGATGAATTATTTCCATGGGTTAGTTCTTTGACGGTGATTTTCATAACGATTCGAAACTTGATTTGGAAGTCTACAAATGTTTAAATACAGCATTCCATTTTAATCATGTATACCAAATTGGGTCAATTACAAATAATTTAAAATGACAAAATCAAAACTATTAAGAAGCTTTTAGTCAATAAAACTATTGTTTGCACGGTTGTAAATTTTATCGAGTAGTAAATAAAATGATTCTGGGCTGGCTAATTGATAACGATTAAATTTTTTTGCGCAATTACTGAAATAAGTTGTTGAAGCAAACTGAAGCTGAGTATTGTTGACCCTGCCAAAAATTTTATCGACCACTAACTGAAATAATTTACTAAGAAAACAATTTAAAGTATTCACAATAGTCTGCAGCCACTAAAATAAGTTGTTGAGCTTGATGACTATTTCAATGATTATTTCAATTGCACGTAATAACTTTCGCTGGATAAATTAAAAATTTTTTGAACGGATGGACTCATGATACTCTGCTCTCTAAAATGAATTGCATAAAAATAATACGGATGAGGGGAATCGTGGAAAATTTGAATTTTTTAAATACCTTATTACTAATATTAGTTCGTTATCTGTTGTACAACGTTCGATTATCTTGTCCAGCATTTAAAAAAATTTTTAACTAGATAATGCAATGCAGAGGTATATGATTCGACTAGAACTACCTCTCAAACATGTGGATGATCGTCAGCTGCTTAGCTTCAACGTTAGTTTTTGATAGATTTGGTGGAAAGGACAGTTATACTGAGATCTGCAAGACAAGTCATGAAGACTACAAGAAACGACGAATAGTCAAGCGCGGGATATTCTTCAACTCCAATACTACTTAATAATATTCAATATAATTTAATATATTAATATTCAATACAATTTAGTTACTACTCGATAAATAAGCTATTACAAAGAATATTCCATACTTGCCCTACTTATCGTTTACTTTTGCGATTCAGGTTTCATTCAAGACCAACGAGTATTTCTTATCGACAACTTTCTTATTGTTTTTCTCTATTCGGCGTATTATTTCAGTCTTTGCCTTTCTCCGATATACTCGTGCAAGTATAGGATATTTTGATCGTCAGTAAAGGTTACCGTGAACCTACAAACGTCTGAAAAATACTGAACGAAGTAAGCGAATGTCTACAGCGTTACAAAACTATTACTATATTATATGTACGCACCCTAATACATAGAGAATTTAAAACCTGTTTATCTGCTAGTGACTTAAGGACTGAACTCCAGATTTGCAAGCTAATTCTAGTTAACAACGGTTATGAGAATAAAATTATCGACACCGAAATTTCTAATGGTCGAACATGTCAAATCCAAACGGACAATTAACCAACATCCAGCTGAATTATCACAGCAATTCATTGCCAAAATTAGATGACTGAAGGTTATGAAACAGACGAAAGAGCCCTAAAATCAATTGTGCTGAATGACATCAGAAGCACAGTCGCAGCAGAGTGAATCAAACTCCTGATTTAGTATAAAAAAGAGAATTTAATTATTAAATATAATTTACGCAATAAAAACGGGACCCGTACAAAAACCAATGTTACTTACAATATTCATGCCTCAAAGAAGGTTGTAGACTTTTCCAGAATATAAATTACATCGATTTGACCAGCACAACTTTGAGCCGCCGCCTAGCATGCCATCACCAGACCGCAGGACCGAAGAACTACACGAGAGGCTCATAGTGAGACTCTTACTCTCGCGACGTTGGAGACCTATACCAGCGCCGTCATGAGATGCCCTGACGCCACAAGACTGGCATTAGCTGAGGTCATATAGTTCAACCATGGCTGAGGCTCTCACCATCATGGACGAGTCTCTAGCTATAAATTTACAAACTACCGGACTTGTAAGGTCGTTGAAACTGTTCTCGCAATTCAAGCTTTGCTTTTCAAACTGTTTCCATAATGCCCCATGTTTGTGCTAACGTCATCTCAAAATTTCAAATTCGAGTTTTGCATAACTTCACCTCCACTTGATAATGAATGTAGTAATGTATTTGAAACGTCATAAATTATAATAAATTCTCCCTCGTAAACCTGATATTTGAGTTTTCAACTCCTATCAAAAGACTAATTTGCCGAATAGAGAAAAGAAGACCTACAAAATAAATAAATGAATTCTGTAAGAAACATATCACAGTAAGAAAATTCTTATTTAGAATACTCCATGCTCTTTAAAGAAACCTGCATTGAAGAATAACTTCTGCTGAACTAAACCAATGTTCTACAATTCAAAATACTAATTGTTGGAAAGAAACCAGCATTTCCGTTGTTTCGGATATCACTTGGTAGCTGAAAATCTGACTTGGTCAGCGGTTACGTAAACATTGGGATTGGGGCTCAACCTTGAGGAGCCGTATGCCGTCATTAACTCGCTTGGTTGCTTAATTCAAATATTTGCTATGTTGGATTAATCTTCCATTGACTGACTATTCTGACGTGATTACTGAATAACTTAATTGTTATTTTCATGAACTCGAACTGGATAACTATTAACTGCGGAAGCAGTTGAAGTGTTGAACAAAGACCAAAGTGAAGTTCAAACTACTGAAACTAGTAAATCTATTAATTTAATTGTAAAAGCATGGCATTTAATAGCTTAAGATCAAATACTTTGTTATCAAATGTAAAGTATACAGAATTGCTATCTACCATCTACTTGCAAAAGGTATCTATCCAAATAATCCAATGACTTGTAATTTCCTGGGCCTGTTGGGGACTTTTCCTTGTTTTTTAACCAACTCTCTAAGTCCAACTGTCCAAGTCTCCTGTCTCCATAGTCCATACAAATTGCTAATACTGAATACACACTCATTACACTCTGATTACGATATTACTGTACCTTATTTATATCCTTAAAATTAGATATAAATCACTCATGGCCATCATGGCCCATGGGTCATGGCCCATGGGTGAAAGAAAAATCCTTATTAAATAAATATCTACCGTCAAATAGGGTAAAAAGGGATGGGCAGGGTAAATAGGGACGCGTATCCCACATTACATAGAAATGTTGTAGCAGCTAAACTAATCAAAATATTGCAAAACTAAAAATAGTGGCGTAAACTTTGAACATTTTTACTAGGGTAAACGCGGTATATTCTGACATTGTGGGTAATTCCGTCACCTCTTCAGCTTTTCCTTTATATTAAGCTTTGTTTTAGTTCCATGCGTTTGTTGATGGTTGAAATGGTGACGTCATATATTTGCGTGTCAAAATACTGCCAAAACACAAGGTCTTGGCCATCTAGTGGGAAAATATTGAGATCCAAAGAGAGACAATGCATGCCACCTGGTGAGATCATCAAAAAATGTGTCAAATTTGACAGNTTGAAAAGCGAATTCAAACAAGCTTTTGGTTCATTATATTGGTAAGAAAATAATTATTTGAGTCCCCTCTCCTTTATTAATTTTAACTCCGCAGCTCACTGCTACATTGTAGAAGATGTGTATAAGAGACAGGATTAATCTAACACATTATAAAAGGTTACAAAATAAATTGGTATTGATTTAAATTATTGTACATTGTATACTTATTTTTTACAATTGCCAAATTTTGCTAATCTATATTCCATAAATACTATATGAATGCATCATAATTAAACTGGTAAAATGCTTGATATTGGATAAAATGGAGAAATGTTTTACAATTGTTTAAACCATTATCACTTTTTTGTTTTGCCTGCAAACTTTAATTTATTACCTTTATTTCAGGTTTCTGGACAGTCAACCTGGTCAGATTATGAAGGAAAACTCAAGAGAGAAGTAGGAGACAGAGCCAGGCTCAGGCTGCCACCATGGCTAAAGAGGGAGATCCCTATTGGGCAGAGCTATCACAAAGTTTGTTGCTCTAACTTATCTTAATTATTTTAGTTAATCCTTAGTTTTGTGATAAACATTCATGGAACAGTTTGTATGTTACTTGTGCTTTTTGATATGAAGCCAATGTTCTGGGGCCATGCCATCAAACATATTTATGAGTTCATAAAATCATAAGTAAGCCAATAATGGCATTTCAAACCAAAGCCACCAAATACAGACAATAAATTGCCCGGTATGTGTACTTATGCAGCTGGTTTTAACAGCAGGGCTCCTAAAGACATCAATCTTTTAATTTACGGTACATTACATCTGAATCCTTTTTTGTAGCTGAAAGATGACCTACGGGGCTTGAAACTCAGCACTGTTTGTGAAGAAGCGCGCTGCCCCAACATAGGGGAGTGCTGGGGGGATAACAAGCATGGAGTTGCCACGGCCACCATCATGGTATGCTCTCCAGATCCATTGCAAATCTTACTCTGCAATAAATTATGTTATTTTTGGCAAGAAAAACGTCGTTAAAAGAAGGTGTGGTAGAATTACATATATAACTTTTATAGAATTATAATTCTATAGAATTCTATAATTATAGAATTTTGAATTATAATATGATTGCATCGATTTTTAGATTGTCAAATTTATGGTGGAGCTGGACTCTGAAACGTTTTCAATATCGATACTGGTATGGTGAATTTGCTTGGCGTTTTCTTTGCTTTTAAATTCCTTGTGAACTAGCAAAGTTGCAATATAAGCATACTGATAATATGAGGTGTGGTAGGTAATCATCATGATAGGCTCTCGAGATCCATTACAGATCATACAGTCCAGTAAATTCTGTGATTTTAATCATGATTAATATCAAAGCAAGATTATATAGTATGCTCCGTATGCAGTCATCATGGTATGCTCTCGAGATACACATTCGACAATTTACCCGTCGTTCCGTGCAGCTGATGGGGTCTGAGTGTACACGTGGCTGCCGCTTCTGCTCCGTGAAGACGTCCAGAGCGCCGCCGCCCCTAGACCCCCACGAGCCTGTCAACACCGCCGCTGCCATCACCAAGTGGGGGCTGTCGTATGTGGTGCTCACCTCCGTCGACAGGGATGGTTAGACGCCTTGCCTTCATCAAAATGTTTTTAGGCAATTTTTTGTAATTATTATAACCTGATTACCTTAGCCTACCGAAAATTACCTTTGCAAGATGTTTCTAATGAAATGACCCATGAAACTTAGTTGTTGATTATTGAATTTAGTTTATGATTATGAAATCTAGTTGTCGATTATTGAAAATAGCATTAATATTTACATTTTTCATTTAGGTGCTCTTTGAACTTTTATAATCTATTTAAACAATTTAATATTTGTATTTGGTGTAATTGTTTCTTTTTGGGTATGTTCCAGACTTGGAGGATGGAGGAGCGGCACATTTTGCATCCACTGTCGTTGAATTGAAAAAAAGGTTTGCAGTCAATGCTTTAATTTTATTCAAACATGGTATTTTTCATTTTTTCTGACAGTTATTTATAAGTTTCATTCCCTTCATCAATGTTCCAGGTAAAATATTTAATTTTGGATATAAGCAAATCGTTATTAAAATCACTACACTTGCAAATCTCCGTCAGGTTAGGCACCAACGAATAGGTACCATTCAGAACCGCAGCACAACATATCTTAAATAAAATAATAATAAGTTGTTTATCTTCAGTGATTATCTTACAACAATACATTTTCAAAAATGCATCTACCCCTTGTGTCTCGACACGACGCCTTATATTACCGTGAAATTAAATGTATCAAATTGAATGTTTACTTTCAAAATACATTGTATTTATATCAATTTAAATGTTTCGGCGTCTTCGCATATACTTGGGCAAGCTTCATGACTAATTATTTCAAATATTTCTCAGTAAGCCGGAGATTCTCGTGGAGTGTTTAGTACCAGACTTCTCTGGGCGTGAGAAGTGCATTCACGTAATCGTCGACTCAGGCCTCGATGTCTTCGCTCACAACATAGAATGTGTCGAGGATCTTACGTGGCTCGTGCGGGACCCAAGAGCCAAATATAGGTAAGCTATTAACCATTCAGCTGCCTTTGTGCCAGGAATTAATGAACGGAAATATATTAACTATTGTTGAGTTGGTGCTCTACAATCTACATAGTAACTATTGTTGAGTTGATGCTCTGCATAGTGCGTTGGCATCAAATAGCAACCATATATCCTACCAGCTTGTCGCGTACCCCGCGCCGGTTTGTGACTCCTCTGATACTTCCCCTCATCCAAGAAACTAGGATATAAATTTCTCGAGTATGTAACTCATTTATAATTCATTATTAATCTTATATTATGGCTGTTAGTGAGGAGAATTAGATAGTAATTAATACAAAATGTTATGCAGACAATCCTTGGCGGTGCTGGAGGAGGCCAAGAGGTACAAGCCTGACCTCATCACGAAGACCTCCATCATGCTAGGCTTCGGGGAACAAGACGACGAGGTGCTGCAGACCATGAAAGGTAGGGTTTTTATTTTATTTTATGCTTTTATTCAAATATCTTGAAAAAAATTCTGTGTACACTCAATCACTCAACCTGGTAATTTTCCTTTTCTTTGATAGCAAGATGGTTTTGTTCTGTGTTTTATTTTTAATCAGATATGTCGATTATTCGAGAAAATTTTCACTAATGAATTTGTGTAGCGACAAAGAATTTTGCTGTTAAACTAATGAAAACATCTTCCCGTAGTTACCACATGAATTGAGCAGCATTGACATAGTAATTCATTTAGCTATGTCATAGAGATTAGTCAAGAACTTAGGATATTTCAAGTCGTGTGAATTCGAAAATACTGCGCTATTTCAAGAAATGAATGTAAGAAAGCAAGCCAGTTTTAAGAAAAAAGATTCAAATCGGTTCCATGTTCAAAAGCTTTAAAATAAGTTAGGTTTGAGATAAGTAAATAACTGTTAAATTTAAAATAAATTAATTAAGGTTGATGGATCTGCCTACGAGAATGAAATTGTGGGGAAAACCAGCTATATAAGCTGTTTTTTGGTCGTGGATATGTTATTTGCTTCGTATATGGAGACATCGTTATGCTCATTTTAGTCAATATAAACCACGATTGTCTTCGATGCGTTGGCAAAATCAGGATTTTTGGGCGTAAACCTCTCGCACTCGAACCAATATTGAAACATTTTATCAATATGTTGATTGTGACGAACTAGCTTATGATTTTCAAATTACCAGTCGCGTCTTCTCAAAAGTTCGGATGGTCCTCTTGTCACGCTTACTAATGACCGGGAACTGTAAGGCACTTCCCTATTGGCTTAGAAAGCAAGGCTTGGGTTGGATGCCTTTCCAGACCTACGGAATGTTGGCGTCGACTGCCTGACGCTCGGCCAGTACATGCAGCCCACAAAGATGCACCTCAAAGTCAAGGAATACGTCACGCCTGACAAGTTCTTGCACTGGAAGGAGGTGGGCGACAGCCTGGGCTTTGCCTACACCGCCAGCGGACCCTTGGTTCGGTCTTCGTATCGTGCCGGGGAATTCTTCATAGAAAATCTTATCAGGAAACGCGGCCAGAAGTGAAGCTCTTAAAATCGGTATAGGCAATGACTATATTTTATTGGAAAATGGTTTACTGCAGGCAGTAGTTTGGAGAATTATATATAATTTCTTTTTTGAAACCTTTAAGCAAGACGAACTTGTGTTCGCTTATATTAAAGAATTATGTTTACAACTGATGGACAAAAAACATGCCCGTCAATCTAATGTTTACTTTACCAATGCTAAGAAACCCAAAAATTTTATTACAAATCGTTAATGAAATTATGTTAACAACTGAGTAAAAAATGTCACCGATAATCAAAGATTGCTTTGCTAATTTCAAGAGGCTCGAAATGTTACTGAAATGTAACGAAAGTGGAAGATTGAGTTGACTTTCTTATGGAAAACGTTATATTTGCACACCGAAACGAGCTAAGCCAATGCAACGCTTCATACTGTGGCACGTTGAGTGCGATGCGCTTAATCACTTTATGTAATTTATTTTACTGTCAATAGCTCATGTCTCGTATTCGTGGTGATGTGAGCAAGTTATTAAAGGCTGTGTAATGGCCGCAATGAGGCCCCCTAATACTCATGTGGTATTGTTGTTTCAAGGAGGATATCTCTGATTATCTCATCATGCTTGTACATTGCTTCTGAATTCACCAAAATGCTAATTTAAAACAATTTCACTAATATGAACTGATCAGTAATTAACTTCATAATAAATGACGCTATTTTGTGCCAAGTCTGCACCATCTCAAAATGTCGAATCTATTCACCTGTTTATTCACCATCATATTCTCGTGGCTTAATTTCCTAACGTGCCTTGCGTTCGGTGAATAATATTTAAATTCCGAATTCTCTGATCGACCTCCCTTGCGTAGGTATTACCAAAATATCTTCGAAATTTAGTTTGTTGGTAAATCCCTTATTAGTAAATAATCGTGTCATCTTGATATTATAATGGCGCTGGTTGATGCCTTTTTTCCCGCCATACTTGCATTATATGTGCAATGTTGTACAACTTGTTGAACTTGTATAAACTTGTCCAGATTGTGTAATTTTTCCCACTATGGGTATTGACCATCATGGACAATCTTGTAGCTGGCGCATCGTTTCACAATCATTATTTTTCTCGCAAATTAATTTTGCAGATTTTAAAGGGAATTTCTAATCTGGGTTACAGCGTTTCTTGTATGAATTCATGTCATACACATAATCTCGAGCTTATTATTGATTCATTTTCCCATTACGAATAAATCAACTGCAGATTTTTCTTCTAGAGTCATAGACCAATGTGCTGAATAGAAAATTTGTTGATCCTGCTGTTCATTTTAGTTTAAATGATTTGTTTGGAATTTTCCAACGGTTTTTCATCCATGTAAATTTATCTAATCAATCGAGGGATTAAAAATGCCGGTTGTTATACATTTATTTTACAAGCAGTACATTTTCGTATAGAATTTGGCGGTTAGTCGTTCTGTGTTCTCGTTTTCGAAGCAGAAATATGAAATATTAATAATCGTGAATATATTATTACAATAACTTCTCTAACACATATTCCACGCACTTCTACATGTGACGAGTAACATTGCTTACAGAAGAAGGGTAAGAGTCGGTGCGTCTAAATTCATTTTATGATTTTCCCAAACATCTTCTACTGCGACCGCAAGATTTTCAGAGAAAAATAATGTCAAATGAAGCCTTCTCAGTCCCTGCTACTTATTATTCAATTCTCGTGGAGATAAAATAAATCACTAAGGCAATTATTTATTCGCCATTAAAAAACAATACAGAATTCCAAGCAATTGAGCCCATCAACAATATAAAAAATTTTGTCTCTTCGTCAATAAGAAACGATTGTTTTATTTCTCGAGATCTTCACATTAAGATCTGAGCACAGGTGTTCGAACAATACTATGATAGTGAACGAAATAATGCGCTATGTTTTGCCGCATATTCAAAAATAAATTTAAATCAGAAATAGTTTCCGTGAACGACATGACTCGGTATTACTGGTAGACATGGTTTCACTCCGTAGAGGCTCTACTTTTACGGTTCAAACATGTTATATTACATTTACTACTTCCCAATTTGTACAAAGCCAACACACTGAAAAATTTTCCTATATCCGTGGTAAATTATATTCTGGTTTAGTTTTTGGTTGAAAATTGCTTAGGATCGAATTGAAAATATCCCAGTGAAAATTCACACAACATCAAGACCTAACTAACGAGAGCCTCTTGGACCAAAATATCTGGAATCCACACTGAAACACCGAATAATATAAAAAATGACGAACATCAATTAAATAGTCTTATTATGTCATAAGCATGCTATTATTAATCTCCGCATGATTGTTCAAGAAATAAAAGCAAACGTAAGAGTTTTAGAGTTCATCTTGAACTTCACCTTCTATATGAATAAATTACCTTGTTAGTGGATTATGACGAACATGTGGCTTGGAGGTCATATTCAATAGAACTTAAACGTGTCCTGCAGTTAGACTAAAAGGCTGGCGCAATATTGGTTCTTCATAAAACGTAATCGTTATAAATCATTTTTTCTTTATCCTAGATAATGATTAAAGATAAATGGGAGACACAATAAAGCTTTACAAATATACAAAAAAATACGCTGCAAAGAATACGCGTACATTTCCTACATACGTAGTGTATTTTCTAGTTTATAGCGATAACGCTGTTCAGTATTAAACATTGGAATTTAGTATGCATTAAAAGATAACAATATATACACTCAGCAGACACAACTTATTTACACTACCTATAATAAAATCAATCGGGTGGTATCGGTATTCGGTACCACTCAGATGTTGGCCGTCTTGAATTTGTCACTCGCGATTTTTCTTGGGTTCCACTACCTTCCTACTGTTGAGAAAAAGATAGATGGAATACAGCAAACAGCTTAGATTTTAAATCCCATTTAAATTTTTAACAAATACTTTGACTCGATTCTTATATGCCTGACGTTCATAACCAAATATGTTCCAGATCCATATATTTTTAATTATTGACAATCGAAAAGATTTTTTCATTTCTCTCTACGCTTTGAGGAAATACATAGACTGGTTTGGTTGACACATCAAGAGACGATCCAATCTTTAGGAAGCACCAGCCTGGCTACCGCGTACAGACATCGCGCGTACCAGTGGATGCTGGAGTCCGCAACGTCTGGATTTGACATCACCTCTCTCCGCCTTACTTGGTCCTGACTGAATTCACCTTCTTTTCTTGTAAGATGTCCATTCAATTCCAGTCTGTACGTTTCAGCCAGTTTAGATTGAGTTTTATTTTCAATATTCTCTTCAAAATGCGACCCGCTCTCAAAGCGGCCTTTGCTTGAGTGAACGTTTGGAGAAAGAATAACTTGATTTGTCGCACGACCGTCGGAGATTTTTAACTGCATAACCGAACCATGTTCTGTGCTTTTATTATTTTTATTTATACCTGACATAGTTTGCAGGTTGGAGTCAATAGTGAAAAGTCCGAGAGCCTCAAAGGCACTCATCAAAATAGTTTTGATTCTGTAATAAACTCGTACGGGCAGAAAAGACCAGTGTGCTAGTGCCTGCGAGTCAATATTGGCATAGCAGGAAACCAGAGCGTCGTCTACAATTATATTTCCTTCGTTCGTTAAAGGTGCGAAGACTCCATCGAGTTCAGCGCTCGTTAATCCAACAATTTCGTCTAATTCAAATGATTCGGCGTCTTTAAGAATGACGAGCTGGTCTCCCATTCTGATTTGTCCAGCGAAAATTGATTTTAAGAGTGACCTCGTTTCGTTCAGCGTCTTGTGCTCTGGGTTATCTTGCCTGTCTACTATCATAAGCAGATGAGATGGTGTAATGTTCAGTTTTCTCCCCGACTTGGTGTGTATTCTCAAGAAATTGGCTCTCGATTTTTCGTTCGAGTGAATCATCATGAGTACCGGGCTGAAAATTGGAGATCCCGACGGATTTCTAACACGAACCATATCCCCGGGACGTATTGTGGACACCGGTCGCGCCCCTTGAGGTGTTAGTACCAGGCTGCTCCCAGGGAAACAGCCTCCTAGTCTGCTCAGCGCCGGAGACTCTGTAAATAAAATAAAACTGTGATTAAGAGAATCATTTTGATCAATGGCGTAGCTACATGCATTTTTCATTTGTGTGGCTTCCATCTAGAAATAAGTAGATAACGTAGTTATTATTATTATTATTCTACAAAGCATTTATCGTGGCGTCTGGTTGAAACGAACTTCGAGAGCACGTCACTCATAAAATTAATAGCAAGCGAAAAATAAATTGACACAAGAAAGGATGGGGTCAGATAAAATGTCTAAGCACTTGATTCATAGGCTCTACGAAATAGTTCCGTCTTTAGGCGTCGACGAAACACCTGCAACGAAGGAGCCGAAGTTACGGAAGCCTGCAGACTGTTCCAGGTTTAGAGTGACCATCGCTAATATTTTCTATTCGTTACTACCTCTATAGAAATACGAATGCGTCAAAATACTACAAGAGATGAGTTTTGCACTCGAGCAGCCCTGTCCTGAAGTATTCTTTAAAAACGCTTATTTAAGATCGATTAATTGTCGTTAAAATAATGAACATAGATGGCGAGATTGTGTAAACCATTATTCATTTAATCGGAGATAGAAAATGGTTCACCGTGGATACTACTCCTCCTTTCTGCTATTTTTGGTAATAAAAACACTAATTTCATTTCACGGTCAATTCGAAGAAAATATGTTGATGATCATTCCTCCTTTCTGCTATTTTTGGTAATAAAAACACTAATTTCATTTCACGGTCAATTCGAAGAAAATATGTTGATGATCATTNCCACGACGCCAAAAGTGCAAGTTCATGGACGGCATAACGCCACTAAACACAGAATGGCCACGACACCAAAAGTGCAAGTTCGTGGACGGCATCACGCCACAAAACAAAGAATGGCCACGGCACCAAAAGTGCAAGTTCGTGGACGGCATAACGCCACAAAATTGTTGTCGCAGTCCCGCCACACGACGAGTAAGGAGATTGCTGTAGGATCATACATTAGTTGCCTGGGGGCACAGGCGGGCGCAGCTAGGCAGCAATTGAACGGCTCGGGCGGTCGCCATGCCACGCCGCTGCTACCAACCTCGCATACCTCCGTCACACTCGGACGACGTTCGCCGCTGGATGCGATGTTTTGTGTAGAATACATCGCATGTTTTACATTCGGAAGCACAGCTCAGAGATTGAATAACATCGATAACTAGTTTATTTATCGAACCTAATTCGCTATTTGCGATTACAATGCAATCAAATAAATTAATTTTTATGACGAGTAGCGATTCTTTAATCGCTATTGCCACAATAAGACGGAGAATACTTCAATTGAATTGAAATTCAGATGGTAATTTAATTATACCCGTTATTTAATTATAGTAGTTATTTAATTATAGTGATTTAATTATACTATAATAAGAAATGCGTGTAAAATTCAAAAAGTAAATGAATAAAATTTTGCGTAAACTCATTGCGGAGCTTCGGGAAAATTTCATCAGAAAATATTCGATCTGATGCCAGCAACTTTTCCAAAATGCATAAGTATTAAAATCTCCAAATGATTGTAAAATGCGAAATATTTTGCTTAACAAAAATGTTCGAGTTTGCTTAATAAAAAATTGAAACCGTATATCAATGAAAATTTGCTGCGGTTGAGATTTCCTGCGTTTGATGCGAAGACATCCATTTCAGTGCGAGAATTTCTCGAAAAAAGAAAATGAGCTTTAGGTGTGATGCGTCCATTTTGGTTGCAGCCTCGAGACTGGTCGTGGCTGGACGGGAGGAGATGCGGAGGGGTCTGGAGGGTATACGGTCTATCGGTTAGGGGGTCTCATGGAAAGCTCTCTTAGGCCAAGCCATCCACAGACCTTCGCGGCTACGGGAAGGCATGAAGAGCGCTAATATTTGAACATATGACCGCGAGAAATATAGAGAAATTCGATGGAAGTCGAATTCCTCATTTCTCAATTATGGGAAATTCGTCAATAGCAAGTAAAAATATTACCTTGCAGGGTTATTTAAACTCTCACTTCTTATACACTTGAAACAAAATAAGGAAAGATGTCAAAGAACTTTTTGGAAAACTTCACATTTTGCTTTACGAAACGAAGCATATAATAGACAATACCTCAGTTCGCTTGTGCGCGCTCTTCTATACACAAATAAATCTTTAGCATCATACAACTCCAAATGCCATTAGAACAGTTACAGATTTTTCCTTTTATATAATAGAATGTCATTATTCTAGGTATTCCCAGTTTTCTCAAAATTTCATTGCCAAAATGAAACTCATTTTGAACTAGAAGGTATATAAACTTAATATTTACAATATTGTTATGCTTATACCCAATCGAATGAACATAAAGTTGTTAATATTCTCGCCAAAGTTGAAATAAAATTTCAGTTATACAGTGAATGCAAGAAGGATGTGTGAAAGCGTATGCTGAAATTAAACTGATATGGTCTTGAGCAGCATGCCTCATGAGCAGTATGCCTCATGAGCAGCATGCCTCATGAGCAGCATGCCTCATGAGTAGCATACCTCATGAGCAGCATGTCTCATGAGCAGCATGCCTCATGAGCAGCATGCCTCATGAGCAGCATGCGTCATGAGCAGCATGCCTCATGAGCAGCATGCCTCATGAGCAGCATGCCTCATGAGAAGCATGCCTCATGAGCAGCATGCCTCATGAGCAGCATGCCTCATGACTATCATACCTAAATCTGCCTCACCATCTGCTTGATGTGATCGTAGGTCTGGCAGAAACGTCAGCTGGTGACAGTGTTCGTCTCTCCCCAATCCTCACCTTTTCGCTTCTGAACCCCAGCTCGCACCCCCACATCCCCACCTCCATCTCATCCCCTCCTTGTACCCCTGTCACCCACCTTGTTCTCCACCCCCCACCACACGGGCATTTTCATACCCCCAAACGCCACTCCAACAGCTTTTGAGGTTGAAGTCAAAATAATTTCAGCGCAAGCGAAGAACAAGATTGTATATAGCACCAGACTCGATAATTTATTTCAATAATCGTTATTGAAATTTATTGTGAATATGAGAGTCAATTTTGGCAATTACCGCTGAATGTTTCTTTCTTTTAATTTATCGGAATTGTGATCGAACTTCCTTGCGAAAAATATAACTTGTTTTGCCGATGATAACCTTATAAACATTTTGAATTTGCGAATTAAAGTGTCTCATTTGGTCATCCAGCGTCCAACGAAAACTGTGCAGCACTTTTGATCCCGGAATTGTGTTGCGGGGGCCGCGGCCAGCAGCACTTTTGATCCTGGAATTGTGTTGCGGGGCCACGGCCAGCAGCACTTTTGATCCTGGAATTGTGTTGCGGGGGCCGCAGCCAGCAGCACTTTTGATCCTGGAATTGTGTTGCGGGAGCCGCGGCCAGCAGCACTTTTGATCCTGGAATTGTCTTGCGGGGGCCGCGGCAGCAGCACTTTTGATCCTGGAATTGTGTTGCGGGGGCCGCGGCCAGCAGCACTTTTGATCCTGGAATTCTGTTGCGGGGGCCGCGGCCAAACTGGACACGCTGCTGGAATGCGGCCGTCAAAACAGCCGCGCTCGCGGGCGTTTGAAGCTCACTATAGCAACGTGTACAAACCATTCCCTGATATTTTCTTCTAATACTGTGAATGGACGCTGTTAAAAATTGTAAATAACACACAATTTAATTTATCAATTGTGCTCCAATGAGTGAATAATTTGTTCGTATATACTTTATAAATGAATTATTTGATCGCAGTAACTTAATATGTTTTGATGCAAGAATTGGCTTTCTGTCATCCTCATTGTTGTTTGAAAACGTACATAAGGTTGCGATCAGATCACAAAACGTTGTAGCAAGCAATAAAACAGAAACGTTATCGTATAGTACTATGCTCATGTAATTTATTAAGCAAGGGGCTATCAATAATTACGAATTAGAATTGTAGAATTCGCTTGATGAAGAATTGAAAACACTTTCAAATGATCATTGAGGTTCGATTGTAACGATACATGCATATAATGACTTAGACTCATCTAAGTCATTGTTGTTCATAACTTATGGATGAACATCCACTCAATATTCACCGAAATAAAAGATTATTGTAAATATAATAATGCGGATAGAATCATATCAGGAATGACTAAGTGCCAGATTATTTACCATGATGTACGAGTTAGGGTTACGTATGTAAAGTTAGAGACAATATTGGCTAAAGATAAACAAGACGAAAATGTAATGAATATTTTAAAATTTGATGGAGTTAATGTTATTATTTTGAAGTTGAAGATTAACAAACCCCTTTGAAATCAATAGAACATAGAATATGAAGACGCGGTGTGCACAAGAAAAATATGAGCACAAGAAGTGAAATGGTAAAGACAATTTAATGCGTCTTGTGTCATTAAAAAGCAATAAAGATGAATCTTCACTTGCGCTGACCTTCCTGAACTTATAATGAAATATAGTTTAGTAGAACTAATGATATGAGAACCTTTGAATAAAACATCAATTCGCTCAGATTTTATATAACTGCAATTTTTTTAAATTCTGGATAATTGATTTCATTTATAGCCTGATTTATAAGTAAACAAGTAACAATAAACGCGCAGCATGACATTCTGCTAACAAAGACTGAATATATTTTAAAACCCATCAACCGGTGTGGCTTGAATAAAAACTGAAGAAAATTTTTAAGTAGCATCACTGTGAGCAGAAGTAGTGAAACGCCATTATTATACAAAATGGAAAATTGTACATTACATAAGAAAAGACTGCCCATGTTAAGTTAAGACTGGCCAAATTCATAGGGACAGAGCACGTATATGTGAGAGCGAAACTTCAAATACCCTTAATTTAACAGGTATGACACGAATTAACATTCGATTACGCTGCTGTATGATGATGCGAACAACTGTCTAATTTTGTGCAGAGATAAGTAAAAAATTCGCTATGAATTTGGAGGTTACAACATAAACATTGAGTAACGGATCACATGGAATTAAAGCATTGAAATTTTAAAACTATAAATATAGGAGAACATGATACTCTTGAAATACAACGACATACGACATTCTCAATTATTGCTAAACTGATCACATTTGTGGAGTAATCATCTGTTTGATGGGTCTAAGTCATTATGTGTCATTGTAACGACACATGCATATAATGACTCGGATTCATTTAAGTCATTGCTAGAATCATGTTCATAACCATGGATAAAAATCAACTCAATGTTCACCGAAAAATATGGATTATTGTAAATATAGTAATGCGAATAGAATCATATTTTCAGGAATAATTGAGCACCAGAATATTTACCGTGATGTTCGAGTCAGGGCTACGTATGTAAAGTTAGAGACAAGATTGGCTATAAACAAGGCGAAAATGTAGTCAATGTTTTACAGTTTAAATAAGTTATTGCTATTATTTTACAGTTGAAGATTAACAAAATTCTTTGAATATCGAATATCACTAGAACATAAAATATAAAGACGCGGAGTGCACAAGAAGAATATGAGCACAATTAACATAAGTGAAATTGTAAATACAATTTAGCACGTCTTGTGGCATTAAAAAGCAATAAAGGCGAATCTTTACTTGCGCTTACCTTCCTGAAGTTATAATGAAATATGGTTTAGTAGAACTAATGATATGAGAACCTTTGAATAAAACATTAATTCGCTCAGATTTTATATAACTGTAATTTTTTTAAATTCGGGATAATTGATTTCATTTATAGCCTGATTTATAAGTAAACAAGTAACAATAAAAGTGCAGCATGACATTCTGCTAATAAAGACTGAATATATTTTACAACCCATCAACAAGTGTGGCTTGAATTAAAACTGAAGAAAATTTTTTAAGTTGAATTACTGTAAAACAGGAATAGTGAAACGTCATTATTATACAAAATGAAAAAGTATACAATAGATAAGAAAAGACTGACCATGTTAAGACTGGTCATATTCACAGCGACAGAGCACGTAGATGTGAGAGCGAAATTTTAAATACCCATTAACAGGTATGACACGAAATAAAATGGCCGAAAATTTGTGTGTCGAATCCCCCCAGTAATACAGAAATATTCAAAATAACATTATAATATGAAAATAAATTGTAAATTAAAGAAAAGGAGATTGCAGACTGACCAGATTTACAGGAACAATGTACGTGGGAGCGAGCCTCGTAGTAGACCCAGTCGAAGCCTGCCTCCACGGCCAGTCTCCCAAGCATCCCGTACTTGGAGCGATCCTGACACGAAATGTACAAATTAATATACATAATGAAAAGTGTTGCGAATAAACTTTATTATTTTCTTGCTGGTTTTTTATATGAGCCGAACAAAGTTTTTTGCTGGTGTTCAAACACTAGCAAGGAACTTTGTTCGACTCATTAATCATTTTCTTGCTCGTATTTTCAATACGAAGTATCCTCAGGTCTCAAATCAAGCTTACCTATAGGAAGAACTTTAGCCAAATTCTAGCAAACACAAAAAAAAGCTTTAGTCTGTAATTCTTAGCGAATACATTATATGGGCGTGCCTTAAAATTGAGTTACGCTAGACATGACATAATATGTTTTACTGAGTCGTTAGATCTTAATTCCCATTAATTACTGAAACGGCAAATAAATAATCTTTGATTTTATTTAATGAAAAAATAATCAAACTTTATGAAATTGCATAATTTCATAAAGTTGAAATTTCGATTTCAATACATCTAGTCTTTTCTGAAAATGTGCACTACAAAGGCAATATATTTGTGTTCACTATGTGGTCCACCAGTATTCTAAACCTGTACATTGTACAATGTGAACAATTAATTCATGACCGACAAATTTTTATATGAAAATAAATAAGTATTTGGGTAGTGTTTTCAATTCTTATCATTCTACGGCCGTGCACGAGAACTCAAAAAATCCCAAGCAATAAATTACAAATTATGACACGATATACCAAATAAAGAACAAGCATTAAAAGGAACTACACGCACGCTATTCCAATACATGCATCCAAATCCCAATGAGCTATCACTGGTTAAAACTAAAAACAAGACATCGCTTTATTTTAAATAAAATCAAACATTTTATTGAAATTGATATTGGTTGAAAAACGGTAACTTTAACTTTAACAGTAACTTACTTAAAACAATAAGTGATTTAATTGAGATAGTTAATAAAATAAGTTTGAAACTGAGGTCTAGCTGTAACCAAAATTTAAGACAAAACATCTTGTATATAAGATGATTCTGAGTAAGAAAGTAACTTCGTAAATTTCGCCCATATAACGCATAAACTTGTAAAGTTATTACAACTCAATCAAATATTTCATCCATTGAAAAACGCTGCCGCTCTTCTCGATTTCCATTCAGCCCTTGATTTAATTGAAATACAGAGAAAAAATATGAGCGTATACTATTTAAAAAGACATATGTTCTGAAAGAAACAAGGCTCCATTCATCAATTTTAAAAATGGGTATTTATTGGCATTGTCAATTCTTGAGTTCTTTAATTAATTCCAGGTCTTGCATTTGATGATAATAGCCATAATATTTTGAATCACTTGAAAATTTCTTCTCTGTGATTGTTGATTGTTTTTCAATCTTAAAAGCCGATTTTTGCAACAAAAAATCAAAATTTAGTTAATGAAATGTGCGCTCTCACATATGGAGACCTGATATAATCTCGGTTTGGCCAATGTACGTACATTTTTATTATTTTCAGACCGCACAACTCGACAAAAACGAGCAGGATCTTTTGCACGGGGCAAAATATATTTCGTGGCCCGTGAGGTGGAGCGTTAATCCAAAAAAGGATATTTTCTGCGTCGCGCAAAAATAAATTTCTCATACTTTGAGCATCCAAGCGACCTTTCCCACGAAAGTTTTTCGGCTCCATACAACAAGACAGAACGCCTCCATAGCAATCATAAACACAGGACTTACGACAAACAAACGTCATCTGAACTCAAATTCGAACGTAAGATATTAGCACTAATTCTAGGAGACGACGCTATTGCGCTCTTCGGTCACGACTTCTAAGATTTTGTGTTGCAGCGAGACGCACTCAAAGAAATAAGGGAGACTTTTTTCATATAGTGATGTAATTTTTTTATCATGTATAAGTCATCCTAACCTAATTTTTTCGGGTGAAGGAGTGTATTCGTGATACATGTACGTGAGAGTAATAGGTCGCTATTTGGACAATACAACCCGTTTATTTATCTGAGTGAGCTGCTGCTCCTAAGCCTCGTGACCTGATAGACGTGACCGCGTCTGGAGCTCTAAGATGGAGGCGCGGCAATGGAGGGAACTTGCTCGTAATCATGGAGCTTGCTTGGTTTCCGGGACTTTTTGGTTTCCGGGAGTTAGACATGTTTGAGGAATTTCCGGGGGAACTGCATTATGGATCATCAGACTGCAGCGGGTGCATGAAAAGAGACTTTATGTCTTTTCAGAGAAGCTCAATCAATCGGGTGAATATATATTTAGAGTTCGCGACGCACACTAACACGTTTCTGAAACTTGGCGGTGTAGCATATGATTCGTAATCTTATGCAAGTCTCTAATAACAAGAAAAAAGTGTTTATTTATCCACAAACAAAAGCTCAAAACCAAGGCAATTCTAACTAATTCAAATATTAAAATTAAGTATTAAGTATACTTAGTAAATAAATTATACTTAGTAAATAGTTGATTATACTTAGTAAATAGTTAATTATACTTAGTAAATAGTTAATTATACTTAGTAAATAGTTAATTATACTTAGTAAATTACGTTTGCTAAGTATATGAGAGTATATTTTTACTCACGCTGTCTGAAGTAGCGATGTCCACAGCTCTGCCCTCGAAGTGCAGGGAGTCCTGATTGTGCAGCGTGACGTCATCCTCCCAGCCCTCCTTTACCCTCAGCCGCACGCCCGGCCACTGGTTCATCACGCTGATCGCCAGCGTGTCTAGTCGCTCTCTGCATCTCTGCAAGTAACGGAACCTATTGTTATTTATTGGTTTTAAACTAAGTACTTATAATATCATTAGTCTGCGTAAATCACGAGCTCACAATGTCTAGCCGCTCTCTGCATCTCTGCAAGTAACGAAACTTATTGTTATTAAATGGTTTTTAACTAAGTAGTTGTCATTTAATTAGTCAGCGTAAATCACAAGGTCACAATGTTTAGCCGTTCTATGCGTCGCTGCAAGTAACGAAACCTATCATTGTTTACTGGTTTTTAAACTTATAAGTCCTTTTATAATTTTTTAAACTTATAAATTCTCTTTTAAGTTCTTGTAATATCATTAGTCAGCTTAAATCACAAGTTCACAATGTCTGGCCGTTCTCTGCGTCTCTGCAATGAAGAAAATTTTTCGTAGTGTAATGTTCTTTTAACTAAGTACACATATCATTAGTCTGCCTAAGTTTCCGGTTCACCAAGAATTTAGTAGCAAAGAAACCGCTAAGTAATTTCAAAATATCGTTTTACAATGAAAACGAAGTCTTCTATGAAGTCTATGAACTGATATAATGGAACTTGCTTCCGAAACGCTTTCATTGAAGATGTTTTGAGTTTATTTGGCGTTTTTCAACTAACAATTTGCAAGATTTCAGTATGCGGATTCCGAGACGAAAGGCAAAAATTTAATTGCCTGAATTCTTTCATTATTGGCATTTCACATTCTCTTTGTGGTGATTTGGCTCATTCTAAAGTGAAATTCACGTATGAATTTTACAGAATTATCCCTCAAAATTATTTATTATAGCAAATTTATTACAAGAGAACAGTTGATCGTAAGCGTCACAGATGGTTCTGGATTCGATATCAACTAAATGAGCAATAAAATATAGAACAATTATGTAATCGTCAAACACGAAATATTCTTACTGCTTGAATATCGACAAGGCAAACATTCTTTCTCATAGCAGAGGTAAAAATAATGGTGGCTTTTGTTCATAAAAATTTTGTTCTCACGGCTCAAAAAGTTTATTCGTAGCATAGATCGCCAGAATGTGGCCTTGTCTTTTATTCACAAATACAACAAAATAAAATAACTCATGACTTTGAATCACCCATTGTTCCAAATAGTACGAAACAAGTAGTATTTTTCCCTGCATAAATAGTTTTTCACATTTAAATACTGCTTGGCTGTAATCCAGTCAGTGGACATCGAATTTTTATTTGGGAATGGATATGTATGATAGTTGTATGATATACAAGCTAGTAATTAGCCTGGCATTGCCTGAGCTTCATAAATCCTTTAATTTTGAAATTCTGGTATCCCCAAATACCTTCTTCTTCTATCTCCAACCCCGCTGTTATTAATCTAGCTTATTTTTTAGTCAAGTAAGACCACTTCAAACCCACATTTACAAAGAAGATTGGAGTCCCACTTCACTCTCGTTTCAAAATCTAGATATTTATATATTTGCGTGTTTTACATTAAATTTACATGTACCGATCGTAAAATAAAATTTGAATTTCTGATCATATCCTCCGTTTTCTTCCAATTCTTTCCCGTTCTCGCATTAAAAATGAAATTGCAAGTCCATGTAAGCTCCCGACAAAAAAGTTTCGTACGTTGAAATGTACCCTACATATGGAGTCCCATATATACCCACAGACATACAAGTACGCATCAACGAAAATACATTTCGAATAAAAAATAAAATTTTACGCTCTCTAATTTTGTATGCTTTCATTTTAGTTTCATAACAATTGACATCACGAGAAAAATTTGTATAAATTCGTCTCTTGCACTTCGCTGGTACAAAGCTATAGGCGTATTTTATCCGTAGACTCACCTTCCTGACACGCTTGCATCAGATCATATATATTAAAGTGTATCATATTTGAATTCTTTAGCGCGAATCCTCTCAAAACTGACATAGAAATGAAAGCTATATTGAGGCACTGCATGGGTAACTATATTTGATTCTCCGAATTTTTATTTCTAAGAAACTAAGTTCTAACGAAAATGCAGGAGTAGCACATATACATTCAATTTGCGGTCAAAATTCAATCAACTGTCTTAAGTTCAGCCTATGGATATAAATGTTACGTTACGTAGGCAGATAAGATTTGTTATCATTTTATTCCGAGCTCGGTGCGGATACTAAGACATGTCGTCTTCCCCGTAAATTTTAACTACTGTTAACGTTGCAGCGGCTCTCGGGAGGCTGTATACCACGGAGGAAATATGAATCATTGCTGATTGCATGGACGCAGACTCATGAGTCATTTTTAAGTGAAAGGTGAATCCTCTTTTAGCGTCAGAGTCTGTAACATGAACCCATAAAATTTTTCAATGACACCCGTAATTAATATTCATTCTAGTGCAGCACAGGCTTGAATAAATTGGAGAGCTTTAATTTACAGAGACATTGTACAATTGTAAATGCCAGAGTATTAATATTGCTTGTCATTATTTCTTCAATTTTTTGTGAATTGAAAGAATTTGCCCTAAAATTCTATGATCACTAGTAAGCATTTAATTGCATAATGAAAACTGTAATTTTGCCGAGACAAGTACCTTAAATATTCTATTTAAAGTTCTCATATCTCGGGAGCCATTTTACCATCAGTCTATAAGTTCAATACCTGCTAAGACATGAAATGCCTGGTCCCATTACAGGCTTTGTTCACCAAGTTGCGGAAACTACCATTCTTGTGTGTGTGGTCTGAAGATATAAATGCTTAATATTTATGATGCACGCTGGCTGGACTTATAATTTCAAGCCAGACACTGAGGCGACATCGAGCGCCATTAATCGGTCTATATAAGGTGTCTATTTTCAACTTCCTCGGAATACCAAACAGGCGACAACGCTGCTATGCCGCTAATACCCCTGCGCAAGTATAGATTCTGTAACTAATATTAATTCCATGATCGGAGTAGATATGTTCGGAAAATAATTTTGGTTCTTTATTAATAAGCCATTCTGTTTCTTTCACGCATTTATTTTGTCTGTGCGCGGTAAAGACTTATTTATTTTAACTTTAATTTTTCTCAATGCACAGTATTTTAAATAATTTATCTCACTATACGTAATGACCTCTATATATGTATTATTAAGGTTCTTCTACGGAAGTTGGAACATAAATGTTAATCGCGTAAAACATTTTATTGCTTCCATTCGTAATTACAATTCTTGTTCATACATTCTTCTTGCCAAATGTTAAACATTTTTCGAGTATCTTTGAGAGTTTTTTTTTTACCTATTATATGATATAGATTCTACTTATTTACCCTTTTTTGCACGTGTCATTGACGAATGCAATTTCGACATTCAAACAAAATAAGGCAGTCGATAATTTAAGTAAAATATTAATAAATTCTCATACTTTTAACATCCTACTAAATTACTATTTTTTACTGTTCACATTTCGTCTAGAATTTTTTGTTTCAAAATTATCGAGCTAAATATGAATATGTATAATATAACAGCGATTTCTTTTTATTTTTATTTAATAGCCTAGGAATCTATAAAAAAATTTTGCATACCAGATGAATTTTTGCACCAGCACTGCACATTACCTATATATTCGTAATTTTAATCATAGGCGCCTACATGCTTTAATTTTTTTTCATACGAAGCAGCGGTAAACGTGTAAGTTATTGCAACACTTGCATGATGTTTCAATTTAATTTTCCAGTGCACTACATGGACTTTGATTCATGCTAGAGCAATTTTTATTCTATTTTGCCATGTTGGTGCGCTCTCTCTTACCCCATATCTCGATGTTGCATCTCAAGCACGTATCCAGAGAACATCACAGAGCCGCCCGACAAATTACCCTTTGCTTTGTCTTCTATCGGCCATTTTCAATCTCGCAGAGCCAACAGCCCCCTATATTTCCCTGTCACTAATCCTCGGCATCAGGAAATTAGTGAGAAATTTATGTAATTTACATTTCCTCGGAGCTCCGAGAAATGTGTTTACTGACGATCAAGTCTCAGGCAAAGGTCGGTGGTGGCAAAGGAAATGTTCGAGTGCCTCGCCTGGATGATTTTAAATTGAACGATTTATCGATTACTTTGTGTAGTTTAATTCATTTTACGAATCCATACTACGTTTTGAATCTCGTAGTGATTGAATACAATTAATCTATTTTTAAGATATCGTTCATTGGAAAAAGTGCGATTCCAAATCAAACATTCGAAATCTGTCAGTGACTTTGAACAAAAGGCTTCCGAATTATTCAAGCAAGTTTTAAAAAACGTGCAAAAAGATCGTGAATATTATTCATACAAACTTGTATAAACGTGGTTTTTCAATAAGCAAATTAAAATAAATAATTCCTATAATTTAAGAACAGTTACTGAACTTTAACAAAATTTACGAAGTCAATCATGGAATAGTTGGGACAACTAAAATATCTATGAGCGTGGCATCAGTTAATATGTGTGTCAGTAAGTTGTATGTAAACATCAGGTCACCAGATTAAATAGCGTTTCCTGTATAATTTATTTTCTATGGTGGCGTTCCATGCGGCTTCATGATCAGATTACAGAGCACGGCCACGCTCGCCCCTTGCGATCACCGCTCAAACATGGATTTGTCGTCCACTGAATAATCTCTTCCGGGATTTTCTCATAGAAAAACCATAAAGTATTGTTTGCGCATTGAATTATTGACCAATGAATTGCATGGAAATGATAATCCAAAGTTTCAAATAAGAAATAGTTACGTGTCAAATATGAATCAATAGTCCACTGATTCAATTCCGAAATTCACAGCCAATTTTGTTCTTTAATTTAATTGTCATTAGCAGTGATTTATTTTCGTGTTGGATTTTTTTATTCGTCACTATTTTTGACCGATCATCGATCAGTAAGGTAAATATATAAGTAAATATATACATTTGTGAAAATAGCTCACTACTTTCTAAACTCAACACAATGTATAAGCGATTAATCCACAGATACAAAAATTGTGAAACTTCAATGTGAACCCAAAACACTAAACGGATTCCGACGCA